TTGTGTTCATGGGAATAGTGACATACGTCAGAACTTAGTGAAGTAGAAGAAAGAATGCGAAAACACAAAGTTCTAGGAGCAGCCTCGCAACAGACATATAGTCATCTCGATGTTCTACCGGTGAACCGACAAAAAACATAGTCTGGATAACAAGGCTGGCAAAAAACATCGCGGAAGCAGTTTCTGTTAGTGAAGTTAGAGGATAGATGTTCATTTACAAGTTCATAACATTGCAAATGTGATGAACTTATGAATTCTTACACATAATGGGTTGGCCATCCGAGATGCCCGACCTCAGTAATGAGACAGTGACTACAGAAGGCGCAATGTTTGGAAATGGTTTGACAAGAACAGAAAGTCCTTTTTCTCAGCATTTTTGCAGTTGCTTTGCATCGCAGATTCACTGTTACGAATAGCGATCGAAGTGCTGATAGTGAGAGACTTTCCAGAAGTGATGCGATATCCATTCTTCAAAAGGTCATATTCGCACCACAATCTTGAAGCAAAAGAAAAAAAGGAGCGAAACAAGAAAAAAGAGAAAAGACACGAAAGCAGCATTCAAGAAATGTCTTGGACGGTAACTTGGATTATCTTTGAATTGAGGCCACTTTACGGAGAATTTCGCTCGAATTCACAAGGAAAACCGAGCAAACAGATGTGCCGAGGTCTGGAATCTTCGAGGAGATTCGTTGCTCATAAAGGTGTAGTTTTAGGTCAAGAGATAAGCTAGTCATTGGCAAAAGTCCCGGAAAAGAGAGATGTCCAAAAAAGAAACAAACTCCTGGCTGAAAATCGAAAAAGGAAAAACCATAGTTAGACTAATTGAGCCCAGGGGAAAAAATTGCAAAGTTGTATTAGCATGTGGAGAAACAGGGATACTTCTCTCGTAGCTGACTAAGAGCGGGATTTTCGATAAACAGAGCGCCGCGTGCGATGGTTAGTAGGCGACCTTCGAGGGAGGTGCTATGCCTATTGGTGTATTGATCCTTTTCATAGAGAAAATCGATAATATCGAGGTTAACGACTCGACAATCAATATGCAGAGTGGTTGTACGCAATGAGAAATGTGATTAGATTGTTCGAATAGAAAACTGAGTTAGCAGATTTGCAGAAAACTTCTTTTACAGTTCGACGGGCTGAACTGAGAAAATACAGTCAAATGATTAACTTCCTATAAGGAAGCGACCAACGCCCAATATCCAAAAGCCAAATTGGTGGCAGATGTGAAGAATGGCAGTGATCACTGCGATTTGCGGGGAAGGCCGTGGAACATAGATGGTTTTGCGCTCGCCATGTCAGGATTCGAAAAGGCTGGACGAGTTTTCGCGCTGATAATGCATATTCTTGAGTGAGGAGCAGTAAGGCAGTGGACGGCGATGAACGATACTGTAACAGAAGCAATTTTAACAAGGTATTGAGCGAATTGTACTCTTGTGACATTGGGAAGTAAATGATGGAAAACAACAGATAAGAACATTAGAGTGATCTACGTCATGGGAGTAATGCATCACATGGACATTGTGGTTTGTGGATAATATGTTCTAAGGACTTGCATGTTGATAGGGTACATATTAACCCAGATTTCGGTAGTTCTCCAAGTTACGCGCAAAGATGTCAAGAATTCAAAGCCAGTCGCAAAATCATTTTACTAGAGATAATGTTGGGAAAAATGGAATTTACTGTTAATTTGGTCTAAAGGTAACACTCAAACGGCTCAAAATTTGTGTACTTTCAACAAGTTTCAGTGACTTCAGAATGTTCAGCGTCGATCCAGAATCGTTCATCGGCGGCACAGAAGGTGAGCCGCAATGTGAAGCGAGAGGGCTGAAAGGTTGCTGAAGCTACCAGCGATTCGGCTGATAGTCAGCGTGTGGAGCGTACGCAGCGAATTTACGATCAATGTGAGACATGACGGCGTGTGTGGATACGCAGGCCCACCGTCAGTCGATGAGGGAACGGACGCAGCGTGTAGGCATTGGTGGGGAGACCGCTGGAAACAGCACGAGCCGTGGCGGAGTGCCGCTGATGTCAAACAAGACCGCTATGACGAGGCGAAGGAATTATGGGCGACTCTTTCCCAGAGACTAACAACTAAACGACAACAGGGTTGGGGACTTGGATGGCCCACACAGCAGTCAACTGTTTCAGTAAACCACCTCAAGGTACAACTGAGTGGAAGTGGACCACGCAGCTCGAAAAGGCTGTTGGTTTCCTTCAGTTTCTAACACTAGCATACATACAATCCGCAGCAATCACGATCTGTCTCAACATTCTCAACCATATAACTTGTGCTAGC